TGGGTTCAGTCCCCTCTACTTTTATTTTTTAAGTCTCTTAGATATATGAATGCTCGTGTAATTTATTTTACTCCATTCATCAATTCTATATATAGTGCTGAAAGTCCTCTTTATTGAGGCGTTGCAAAACTTAAAGGAATGGGTCATCCTTGCGTTCCAGTAATTGCCTGATTCACAAAAAGGGTCGATTACGAATTCGGTTAGCACTAAGAATAATTTGGCTATCCAACTTCTTGGATCGAAAGACTTTGGCGCCCCATAAAAAAATAAAAATAAAAAAAATGAAGAATGAGAAACTTGAAAAATATCATGATATTTTTGGAGCGCCGGGGACTTGGCGTCAACACAAAATAAGACTTTTTATTTTTTTGAAGTTAAAGCAAATTTATTGATGGAAAGGTGAAATATGCACAAGTAGCCCAATGAAAGATGGGCCCAAACAGAACAATGTTGTTGACAAATGAATTAGCCCACTTGGACAAGCCACTGAGCTAGCACAATCAAAATCCTTCATAGTTCATGTCATACGAGTGTTGCTCTGTTTGGAGACACAGAGCACCATTCATCTGAAGTAATGGAGATGAAACAATACTGGTGACTAAAGAGGTAGGAAGGTCCCAATCCTCCAAAACTCTACTTGCACTCCACGAAGCTTTCCACTTGACCGACATCATCTTCCCTCTAATCAACTCTAGAATGGAACGAAGCACTCCCAAATTTTTTTTTTTTTTTTTTTTTACTATACTCAATTTTAGCCAAGTTCAAAAAAAATAAAATTATTATTAATCTACCCAAATAAATATTAGCTCACCCCATTAACATTAATAATGACAAATTTGACTAAAAAAAGAATAAGATTTTTTTAGAAAAATCAGCTTATTTTTGGAATCTAGTGTGCTCGTGAGAGAAAGCATGGTCTTCTAGTTAGACTTGGCCATGCACAACGCAGATAAGAGTAATTTTCTTATTTTTGTCGAAAATTAATGAGAATATTCCTTGATTGCATTTATATGGTCTTTTTGTTATTCAAATTAACTAAGGTGTTATTTGATTACTTAATTTGTCGTTTACTTATGAAATGATGTTATTTGATTATTCAATTTAGTATTTAATTGATTACGCGCTTATTCAATTAAGAGCAAGCGCTTTTGATAATTGTATTTGAATACTATTGAAAATGGTAAATGCCATTTTAGATAGGGTAAAATTTTAAGTGACACAGCATTCGAGCAGTATTGTTTAATTTACCTGTTACTCTTCTACAAATTTTAAGTATAAGCCTAAGGTCAAGTTGCTGATTATATATTAAGGTCAAGTTGCTGATTATATATTAAGTGGTGAAAATTTTATAAAATATTAAAATATATTTAATTTTAAATTACAACTAAAAATTTACCATATTTAAAATTCTATTTTTAAAATTTTCTGTCCTTAATCTTTAATTTTATGAAATAGCACCTTGATAATACAATTATATATAAAAATAATAATAACAACAACTTTCACCAAAAACAAGAATTGAAAAGTAATAGAAAATTCAATGCATACTTTTCATAGATTTATTAATAAGATTGACAAGTTTGACTAAGAATGAAGACCGAGGAACTTGGAAAAATATCATCTTCTTTTTGGAGCCCGGTGGCGTTCATAAAAGACAAAACATTATCTCCTAGGGGAGACTTTGCCGCAATGCAGAGAAGACTATTCTTTAATAGCATATTACGCCTAATTTAAATTTTAGTTTCTGATGTCACTAAATTACGTCAATGACTGTTAGAAAGGATTTTTTCGTATATGATGCAAGCAATTAGGGAAGTTAGATTAATTTTTCAAAATCAAGGATAGACTTATTTTTACTGATTTTCAGGCAAAAGTAAGCATAATTTATTTAATTATATGTATATTTTATATTTTATAATAAATTCGTTATCTTATTTTTATATTTATATGCTTGTCCAAAGCATCGTTATACCAAGTATTTTATTTTTACCTTTCTAGAAGAAAAAAAAATGTATTTTATTCTTGTGTTTATACATTGGAAAATTTTCTAGAATCCCTACCGATAAAATATCTGGTACCTGTGTACCATATAATACAAGCAGCTAGCCGAGTCAATTAGATTATGGTCTCCTTTTCTAAAAGTTTGATGCCAATTAAGGGACTATCCGAAATTAAAATTGATAAAATTTAAAAAAAAATTATTTTAATTTTATGAATTACTTTTCACCAATTTTATCGAATTTAATAATAGGCTTCGCCTTTTCCACAAGTAGTTCTTTTTCCACTGTGATAACGACCCGAGAGTCACAGACCACCAAGGAAACAAGTCATAAAAAATCCTAGTGGAGGAATAGAGAGCTTCACAACAAGTAAGCTCTTCATTTTTTATACTGTTATTGTATATCTTTCTCCAATAATATATAAGTGATTTATGAATTAAAATCCCGGTGTCATAATTTGAATTCTGCAGATTATTTTGAGCATTTCCCAAGTTTTTGTGTCATTTGAACAAATCCAAGGCCACTTTGTACACACTTCACTTGAGTATATTTCACAAGTAATATGGTACTTATCTTATTTCATTTCAGATCATTTTTATTTATTATTTATTTTTGTTTAAAGTAAAAAACTTGAGGAGCTTAGTACAAATAAACAATTAATAATGATAAAATGATATAAAATGGAATTCATTTGTTACTTTTGTTTCATATTATTTGTTTATTAGGAGTAGGGACACTCATTCCATCTGGCAATCCGTGAAATCGATACAAATTAGATTGGGATCTTAAAAGTTCGATCCAATTCGATTAATTCAAATTTATAAATATATTTCTATATATATATTATATGCACTATTTCTATATATATATTATATGCATTATTTCTATTTTTCTTTTCTTTTTTATTACTTTTAAACTGTAACTAACTTTTAAACTTTACTAAAAGCGCTTTTGTTAAAGCTGTAAAAAAATTGTAGTTGGTGAAATAACAGAATGGAGTATATTTTATGAGTAATTTCTTTGAGTGAGGACCTAATTCGGAACAAATTGATAGGGTGTGACCCACAACACCAACATTGTGTTAATTGGCTTGGTCCAAAATAACAAAGCTCATACAAAGTATAGAGTTTTATTCAAAATGTTTCTTTTTCGCTTTAGAAAATATCCATGTTTTGGCCAATATAATGTTTGGAGTAATTTAGTCATTTCCTTCTTTTCCATGTTTAATGCCAAAATTAAAATAAAATAATCTAAATTTTTTAAAAATGACGAAAAATATTCCCATTAAAACTAACAATCCACACACAAAAGTAATATTTGATTCTCATGCTTATTGTCATACTAACCGTCAAGATCATTTAATCACACAAACAAATTACTATAAACAACCATTTCTCACTTGATTTCCTAATTATTTGATTCACAACATAAGGTCCTAGACCATGAACTACCTAGCAGCAAATTATGTCGATCAAACTTTCCGAAAAAAAGAAAGAAAAAAACTATGTAGATCAAGCGAAAGAGCGGACCTTTGACCTAAATTCAAAGGTTGGAGAGGCCAACCAATTAGAAACCATTGCAACCAAGGTATAGAATTAGGGATTTGAACCCAAAAAAAAAAAAATGTAAATTTTTTTAATGATCTAGCATAAATTTCACTTACAACCATCAAATTTCATATGTATATTTAATTTCACTGACACTCCTCAAATTTGGCTAAATATCATATTGAAATAACTTTTAAAAATTAATATCATAATTTTTTTTTATATAAAAAGACATTGTTACCCCTCTAGCTTTTTGTTGACTCACCAAAAAATTGTTTCATATATAAAATGACTTAATTACCCAGTCTACCCCTGAGAAGCATTTTAAATGACCGAAATATTCAAATATTGAACCCTTTTCTCTCTCTCTCTCTCACTAGGATATGTGTGTGTGTGTGTGTGTGTGTGTTTTGATACACTAAATTATAACCAAGTTTGCAGAGCAACTATACTCCATACATACATGCATACACACACACACACACATATATATATATAATTCTGTATATCACAACAACAAAAAAAATAAAACCCCTATGTAAAAGTGATTATTAGTACAAAATTTCACTGAGATTTTTTTCTAAAAAACAGTGATCGGCAATCTTTGCGCAAGTGTTTGCAATCTGTTAAATAAAAACAGAGGGTGCAATAGAAATCCTCGCCTAAGCAAATTTTCCAACTTAAAATAGCAACACTTGTTTGTTTTGACTTTTGTTATTGTAGTAGTAACCCTTATTATTTGGATTTATCTCTCCTTTTTTGTGGATTGATTCTGCCATTATTTTTCTTCTTTTTTTTATTTTTTTTTTATTTTATCATTTTGCTTTGCCAATATTCTTTGTAATCTGCGAATGTATGCATGATTATTTTTTTCTCCTTACATTTTAGTGCTGCAAACACATTTTGAATCATTCAAAACAATATTTTCAATGTTTGAGTACAGGTTTACCAATTTGTTTGTGCTGTTTTGAAGTGGAAAGTGAACATTTTTTTTTTTCCAGTTCAGAAGATGAATTAGGGAGAGGAGAAAAAAAAAAACTAATGCTGTCCATTTTGCACGCATGATTTTGACGATGTCAATTCGACATAAGGGATAATAATTTTTGAAAGGTATTTAATTCAAAGTGATATTTGACCAAACCTAAAAAAGTATCAGTGAAATTAATCTTAATATATTTGTACTATAACGATTACACACGCATGTATAAATATACACTTCATTTGGATAATAAATTTGCATGATTATAGACTATAGCACCAGTCAAAAAGTTATTCATAAGATCATTACTTGTTTAAAGTGGAAAAATGATCTCTGATTAACAAGATGTGCGGTGCTGTTACATATTAAAACGTTGAACTAAATACTTTCTTACATATCATACTTCAAGCATGAGATTTTATTGTCTACCTTGATAATAATATGCTATTTGATATTGAACAGAGATTGTAGAACATGGAATCTAGTAGCGGAGTAGAACATGTATCCATTTGTATCGATGGAAAGCTTGCTCGTCACTCTGGTTTGTTTCGTGAACGTTGCATTTTCAAAGTGCATGAAAAGCTACGGAAGTTAAACCCAGATGCATATGAACCAGCAGTTCTTGCAATTGGTCCATACCACCGAGGAAAAATTAATCTCCAAGGGATGGAAGAGGTTAAACTGCAGTACCTAAAATCACTTCTTGCACGAAAGGAGGAGACCAGCGCAAAGAAATACGTAATTGCAATGAGGGAATTGGAGGAAGAGGCACGTGAATGTTATGCAGAACCCGTAGGCCTCACTTCAGATGAATTCGTGCTTCTTGATGGCTGCTTCATCATTGAACTGTTCTTGAAGTTGTTAACCGATGTTGCAATAGATGAAAATGACCCTATTTTTGGAACATATTGGATGGGCAGCTTATTACTGCTTGATTTGATCTTATTCGAAAATCAACTTCCCTTTTTTGTTCTTCTCAAATTGTATGCCTTGATTGAGGATACAAAACCAGAGGAGTTCGTTTACATTGCATTGACTTTCTTTGCCTTCTTCTTGATTAAAAATATAGCCAAACCTAGAATATTGGATATGAGTTCTATTCACGAAGTCCAGCATTTACTCGACTTGCTACACCGTAGTAGATGCCCTGATCCATTTGTAAGGACTGAGAAAAGAAAGGGAAGTGAATGGGAGCGCATACAATGTGCATCTCAACTTGTAAAGTCTGGAATTAAGTTCGAGAAAGCTGAAGGCAGCAGCAACTTGTTTGATATTACATGCTCTAAAAGGACACTGAAAATCCCACATTTGACCATTGAAGATCGAACTGAGCCCCTCTTCAGAAACCTCATTGCGCACGAGCAGTACAGTGATGTGAATCAGTCTTGCTATATCACCAATTATTGCTTCTTGATGGATTGTCATTGACAACCAAGAGGACTTTAGTTTACTGCAACGTGATGGAATTATCACAACCATTGTGGGTGGTGATGAAGTGGTTTGCAACATGGTCAATAAGCTTTGCCGCAATCTCATCGCGAATCCTGATCTTCCCAGCTATGCTAACATTATCAATAATGTGAATACGCATTGCAGGAAACGTCCGAATATGTGGATGGCGACGTTAAGGCGTGATTATTTCAATTAGGGATGCAAGTTGGGCTGACCCAACCAAGCCCAATCCTAATCCAACCTCAACTCGAATCGGGTTAGGTTGGGCGAACCCGAATTGTACCTTACATGGGTTATAGTCAAAACCTAGCCCGCATATTTTCGGGCCGGTCGGGTCACGGGTTGAGTTTTTAAATTTTATTTATATATATTTTTTTCGAAAATATATATATTATATAGATATATATATCTATATATATATATAGATATATATACAGATATATCTATATATTATTAAAAAAAACAAAAAAAAATTAGGGCAAATCATTTCAGCCTCCCCAATCGTCCAGTCTCATTCTCAACTCTCTCTCTCTCTCTCTCTCCAACTTCAAACTACAAAATCTATAAGAATCAAAAGTTCAAAACCCATATATTTCAAATCTGTGTGCAAGAATCAAAAGTTCAAAACCCATAAATTTCAGATCATTTCAGATTGTTCAAAAAATCAAAACCCATATGTTTCAGTTTCCATCGCCGGCTGTTCCAGTTCGGGTTCGCCGCTCGCAGGCTTCAGCCGCTGTCTCTCAACTCTCAAGCTTGCCCCCCTCTCTCTCTGCAACTGCTAATTTGTATGTATGGGTTTTGTTTTAATTTTTGGAAGTGACGGTGGCAGCGGCGGTGGTGGATCGGCTGAGGGACGGCGGCAGAGAGATCGAGAGAGAGAAAGAGAAAGAATAGAAAAGAGAAAAAAAAAAAAAAAAAAATTCGGGCAGAGAGAAAAAGAGAAAGAAGAAAGGCAGAGAGAAAAAGAGAAAGAAGAAAGAGAGAGAAAAAATTTCGAGGAGAGAGAAAAAATTTCGAGGAGCGAGAAAAGAGAAAGAAGAGAGAGAGAGAGAGGAAAAAAAAAATTATTTAATTTTGGGTTTTGGGTTGGGTTCGGGTTGAGCCCGAGCCAAACCCGAATTGTCTGGGTTTTGATTAAACCTAACCCGAACATAAACCCAATTTGTGAATTGTGTGTCCAAATTTTAAAATTTTTGGGTTGAGGTTGGTCTGAGCTGGGCTAGCCCGCCCAACTTGCAGCCCTAATTTCAATAGTCCATGGGCACTCATTTCGTTTCTTGATCCCTGAGCGCGGGGTATAGATGTGTATGAAAAGGTGTATGTATATGTTGAACTAGTTGTAGGTCAAGTTCTTTCATGATCAGTATCGAGGAAAATTAAATTTAGTGAAATTAAACTTGTATCCTGTCTCTATATCATATGGCAGCCAACTAGTAATTAAATTGATGTTTTTTTTTAGGTGATCAAATTGAAGGTGCATTTGAATATTTATTTTTGGACGTAGGCTAGACCTACAAGGGATCATAGGGCACGCTAGCCGTTCTAATGGCATCAAATCATTGATATGAGACAGCTACTAGGGACTCAGGAAATTATGTAAGGTGAGGGCCTATGTTATTGGGGGTAATATTTAGATTTTTCTGTAATTTAAGTGGGGATAAATATAAAATTTTATAAGTATTTAATATAAAAAAAATTATAATAATAATTTAGTATGAAAAATTGCCCCTACTCATTTTCATTCTATGTGACTCAAATTTTATGACTTTCACATTTCCTTTATACAATTGATTCTCACTCTTGCTACCGCTATGTGTGACTTAAGACCAAACTGCCAAACAAATTGTGACAAATCTAAAATTTTATAAGTATTTAATATAAATAATAATAATACTAATCATTTAGTAGGGGAAATTGCCTCTACTCATTCTCATTCTTGTGACTTAAATTTTATGACTTTCACACTTTTTTTTTAGAATTGATTCTTAGTCCTACTACTGCTATGTGTGACTTAAGGCCAAACTATCAAACGAGATTGAAAAATCTAAAATTTTATAAGTATTTAATATAAATAATAATAATAATAATTTTGAAGGGAAAATTGCCCCTACTCATTTTTATGATTTTCACACTTTCTTTATAGAATTTATTCTCACTCCTGCTATCAGTATGTGTAACTTTTCTGGATTTTCTTCCCATGACCTCACATTGGAATAAACTCAGATCATAAATGTTTTCGATGAGCATAGCGTTAGCCCAAAAATTATTTCACGAAAGCTTAAGAAAAAAAGTTGTTCACTAATGTTTCTGATAGATTTTTATTTCTTTATTTTAAAATGGACAAATGATATGTGATCTGACAAGATGTGTGATGCTGATATTAAGAAGCTAGGTCGACTAAATACTGGCTCCATGTCTTTACTTCAAGCATGATAATTCTACTATATCTTGATAATTAATTATAGGCACTTTGTACATTGAACAGATAGTGTTAGAAGTTAGAACATGGAATCTGATAGCAGAGTAGAAAATGTCTCCATTAGCGTCGATGAAAACCATGCTGGCCACTCTGATTTGCCTCCCGAACGTTGCATTTACAAATAAATAATACAAAACTAAAATTTTGGTGGTTTTTATCATACTGCTCGTGGGCAATGAGGTGTCTGAAGAGGTCTGCACCATGTTCAACAAGCTTTGCTACAATATCAGCATGAATCCTGATCTTTTCAGCTATGGTAACATTTTGGATGATGTGAGAACGCATTGCAGGAAAAGTCCGAATATCTGGATGGCGACTTTAAGGCGTGATTATTTCAATAGTCCATGGGCACTCATTTCGTTTTTTGCAGCTTTTGTATTGCTTCTGCTTTACTGTCATACAAACGGTATTTGCTGCTCCTTAAATTCGATCATCAAATTTGTCACTTTTATCACATATAATTGTATAAACTTTCATCTTAATCACAAACGGTATTTGCTGCTCCTTAAATTCGATCATATTGATGTGTATTAAAAGATGCCTATTGAACTATTTGCAGGTCAAGTTCTTTCATGATCACTACCAAGGAAAATTTAGGGAAATTAAACTCGTATACTGTGTGGTTCTTCTTTATATCATATGTTAAAAAGTGAGTAAATTAGTCCTTATAGTTTCAAAAGCGAACAATTTGCCACTTACATTTTACCTCCGGCCACTTTTTTTTCATATGGTGATGTACATGATTGATATTTTTTGGTTAATTTCGAAAGTACCCTCCAATATGACCGTTATACCCCATCTTCTTATAAAAAAAGATTTTTGCATTCCTTTGTTCCAATCAAACCTATTTTTGTTCCCTTCTTTCCATTTGCATCTGCTCTATATGCTCTCCTCCAAAGTCAATTCATTTATATATATATATATATATATATATATATATACACACACACACACACATATATATGTTTATGTGTATTTCTTTTAGTTATGTCTTTTCTAAAAGAAATTACCTGGATGAACAAGCCCTTGATCCAAAAAAGAGCATACAAGGCTGTTGGGCCCAAAACAATTGCTCAACCTTCCTTATTTGGATGGTGGTGAGTTCTATAAAAAAAATAAAAATAAAATAATAAAATAATAAAATAAAAAAACCCACGCCCTCCTTCGAGGACCAGAACTTGAGTCTGGCGCCTTAGACCACTCGGCCATCCTGACTTGCATGCATTGTTTTTCCCTTAGAATTGGACTATCATTTTCTAATTAGCCCAATATCATTTTGATTCTCATAAGAAGTCTGATTGGCCCAGCTCTCCAATATGCTAGCGAAGCCCAAATGTAAGGTCCACTACATATATATTCTTTTCTTATGATATATATATATATATATATATATATATATATATATATATATATATATATTCCGAAAATTTAAGCAAATTGTATTAATAAAATGTCATGCACACCTTTTTTATAATGTTTTCTGATACAAGTACTGCCTGTATCACTTACCCTCAATGTCTCTTTGCTTAATTTTTAAGGGTATATGCCCATTTACAAGGGTTAGATGCAACATCCAACCTAAGTTTCGACATAAAATATTTTTTTTTTTCAATAAAATATATTTTTTATTTTATTTTTGGGTGTAAAATAATTTGTTAAAAGTTAACGTGTAAGTTATTTACTTAAATTTTTGACAACCAAACACTAAAAAATAAATCATCCAAATAAATGGAGCCTAAATGAAAAAACATGAACATGATCTAATTGGTTACATTTAATTTTCAAAGGTAGCTTAAAGATGAAACACTAATCATGCATCTTAGAGTTTGAAAGCTCGAATTCTTTAGGGAATACTTATAGAAAATGTTTCAATAATTGCCACAAAAAGACCAGTGGTAAGGGGCGGAGCCAAAATTGAATATGGATCAGGTTAAGAGGAAGAGTAATATTGCATATAAACCGGATTGTGAACTCATGTACAGTAACACTAATTTGTTTTTTTGTTTTTTTTGGACTTGACCTATAGCCTTAGATTAGCCCTCCAGTAACTCCGCTCCTACCGTGGTGGAATGCAGCTTGTTATAAGTAGTCTGGCTCAAACATTGTTGACTAAAAGAAAAAACATATACGTAGGTGCACAAAATCTAGGACGCGGGTACGAATCCGAACAAGAGATCTTTGCCTACTAACACTCAAAAAATAATGATATGAGTTGCACAAATATGTATAATCTTATGGAGTAATAAAATTCGTGACCATGGTCGCTATCAATGGAAATTTAGGGAGACTTGTATGGTGTGTGGTTCTGAATCATATGTTGAACTTTGACAACTAACCAGTAATGACACTTTGTATCTAATATATATATATGGGTAGATTATTCGATTGGATGAATATTAGTCTAACGAAGGAGGATGATATTTTAATAACCATTAAGTGCAATGATCTAAGAGTTGCACTTGCATAAACTAAATGGACCTAGAGAAAAGACCCT